TGTTAGGAAACAAAACTTCCAGAACACAGCCACACAGCCCGGAAGACCCACACCAGTCATCGTATGCCGGCCGTGAAAGCCTTTGACAATACACAGAATCTACCTCCTGAAATATTATTTTAATTTTTTTTCTATCCAGTAGAATCGGAACCATTCTAGAATACTGCAAACCCAAAATAATTGAGAAGAGTTGTATGCTTTTTGGGAAAATTCCAGATAACTCTGTTATTACTGATATAGCAAAATAGAGATTTGTTTTCACAGATGTACTTTTCAGCATTCCAGTTTGACATTCATTGTTGTTGGAAGGGGAAAATTAAAAACACTGAAAAAAGTGCCAGATGTAAAATAGCTTGTAGTACAGCAATCCCTGCAGTGAATCTTTGGCAACATGTAACAGATGAAGTGATGGTTAGTTAAAAGGATGTAATAGTAGTAGTTACTATTATTATTATGCTAGCTGATTGTAAAAAAAAGAGAGCTGCAACAATGAAACATGAGCTTCCTGGCTCAATCTCTTACTAGAGAAGTCATAATTTCTATTTTTGCATGTGCTCAGTGTATTTCACATGCCCTGATATATCTTACCGTATATTCCATTTAGTAATCTTCTGCACATAAACAGTGATTGCTGGTTGCCCAGAACTCTTGAAGTATTGTTAATATTTTATTTTGTTTCGTCTTGGTAAGACAAAGAAGAGTTTATAAAAGCATACTTTCCTCAGGAAGGAAGCTTAAACTCATCTGACATTCATAGACAGACTGTAAAAAATGTAAATACTACTGTACTGAAAGATCAATATGGTAAATCCACATGAAAATACGTGTGGGCATAACTGGAAAGCTACAGTGCCCAGTATTTATCTCAGATTCTACATTGTCAATCCAGTGAATTTCAGGAAGCCTGAATTAGAGATGACAAAGGTTACGTTTGTCATGCTTAACAAGACAGCTAAAGACATAGTTGCTGCATACAAGGTCTAACTGTGGTTGTTGGGACTATGTGTGTGACAATCCAGCCCATTTATTTAGCATACAGAGAGGGATTAAGTGTCTTTCATTATCATGGACCATTTTTTTTAATGTGTTAAATTTTAGATAATGATGGTAATGATGATCTATTTAGTAATCTATGGGTGGGCCTCTTGCCTGTACAGATGCACAGGTGCCGAGAAAACGGGTGCCCTGTCATACCACGCTCCTGATGTTCCTCTAGCCTGACAGCTGGTTTGTCCAGGCAGAGCAGCAGTGAGTTCTTTGTACATTTAAGCCCAAAAATATTTGGAACCCCCCCTCAAATTTCTCACAGCCCATGGGGTTTGCGACACCCCAGTTTTTAGAATCCCTGAATTGACCTAAACTAAGCAATGTCATTATTTATATTTAATAGTAGGCTGTTAAATTTGTTCTATGGTTTATTTCCAATTAAAACGTTTTATTTTAGAAAGTTTCAATATTCTGTTATTGTTTTATTTGATATTCATTTCTTCTTCAACATAATCCTAATGAAATAATAAGTAGCATTCATAGGGGCAGTTACACAAATTATTTTTGTGGTCCAAACCTCTGTTTCAGAACTCCTAGTTTAAGGTACACAAAAATATGTGGCTAATCAGTAACTAGGTTAAACACATTGTCTTCCCTTTTGATCAAATTCAGTCATGGAAGCTTCCACCCAAAGCAGAAGAGCCTGAACTTTTCAAGTTAAAAGGATCAGGTGATGGGAAATGAGAATGGGAAAAAGCTTTCCCAGTACATCTAGAGGATGGCAGATGAAGCCACCTATGCTAGAAGCTGCTGTTATTCCGAGCAGGCAGTATTGAACTAGAAGTACAAGTAGCTTAAACTAATATACATTCCTACACATGAGATAAGTTATATGAACCAATTACCATGCATCTCTTTCCACTTTTGCAAAAAAGCTCTCTGTAGTATTTAATTGGCACCAGGGGAGGCCAGAGAGGATGAGGGCAGGTAGACTTCCTGTTGTTTTTCCCTCCTGTTGTTTTTCTGCAAAAAGATTCTTTCCATCCTTATGGCTTTGCCCTCTGATGACAACAGAGCCTTGAAATATAGGGAGAAATTGTCATTCTTTCCCCGAAGGCATGAATCTACACCAATGATGGAAGAACAAATAAGGATTTTTTAATTTTATTTTTGCAAATGGATATTTTATTGTAGAAGCTATTATGAAACAGAAAAAAAAAAAAAGAACAAGGGTTTCTCTGAGTGAAATTAATGCAAGCTATTACCTGAAATCTCTCACTTCTGCTCTCTGCTTTAAAATAAAGGAAATAAAAAGAGGAAGGAAAGCAAGACCTTAATTTAGGGTTAAAATTTTCAAAGAGTATTGAAAATTTTTACACAATTACATTACATTGTTAACATGCTTGTGGTCAAGTTAGGGTTCCACCCTTCATTAAACCTAGATCTAGCCTCTCTCAACTTCTAACTAGAGCACAGTGCAGAGGAGAGATCTAATTCTTCTCTCTCCAGTCATTGTTCAGATTGAAGTCAGTTCCTTTGGGCTGCATTAGCAACAGAAACAATTATCTGCCATTTCAATGTATGGAAGGAATTTTATCAGGATTGTGACTGAGGTGGGAAATGCATACTCTGATCTTATTAACAATTGTCTAGAGTTGCTGTAATTTCTGTACCATGAGTACTAGGTTTAAAATAGCATATGTGAAGTATTTTGAACACTTTACACTTTAGCCTGAACACAGGCTAAATCACTGTCCACTCCATCATGTTGGGTTTATTGAGTCCTTGTATGATTATCTAAATGTTGTTCATATATCAGAAAAATATAACACAATACGCATGGAACTACTGAATACCACATTTAATTTTTGCAGGGAGACAAGGGAGGGAGGGAAAGACAGAGATTCAGTAGCTGTGGCCAACGTTAATCTTATTGCACAGAATGACAAATTATACTAATTACTGACCATTCTTAATTTACTTAGTTGCAAGATTTTTACTATTGCATATCATACTGATGACTCACTTCCTCAAATGGATCAACAAAGCACAAATGACCTTGGGCTTTCTGCACAGTAGGAAAGGTACTGACTCTAAAGCTTCACCCTTCAAAGAAGGCTTCTTACACACTGATCAATTCATGTTAATTACAGGCAAAGTAACTATATTCTGGATTTGAATGGAAAAACCGGCCACACTGGATTTGAAAAAAACTCATTCTTATCTAGCTGCACTGGCTATAGAGGAATTAAACATAAATATTAACCACATGGTGTTGAGATTTTATGCATTCCCAGATGTTCATAATAAAGGCAGTAGTTATCGTGTGATGAGCAAGCATTTCCCACTGAGAAGGAAATCTATCAGAATTCATTTCCCAGAGTTCTTTTAAAACTCTGCAACCAGAAGTAGAATTAATCCCACCGAACACAAAAACTCAGAAGCTCTACATTTAGAATCTGTACTCCTTTAGTTTGGCAGTACTCAGTTATAACATTTTATTAAATTTCTTGCTAGGACTAATTTACATGTGTTGATTTTTACACTGCAAAACCAATGAACTGTTACTGATTTAAATATCACTAACAAGATGTTCAGATTATTAAACAAGCCACAGTGGCCTTGGCTCACACAGTGCCTTAAGCCAGGACATCTCAGCTTTTTTAGACTGCTGAGCTTGTTAGAATGTTGAGATAGCTGGCACAGTGGGCTTGACCCATCGTACTAGAATGCAAACAAAAAGTTGTTCCTTACCCATCTCTCTTAGCCTTTCAGGATGCTTTCTACCGCCTTAGCTTACTGTTTCCCCCACCCCCACCCCCGAGCAGCTGGATGCACTTCCAAATGAAGCATTGGGCTGCAATCACCCATCATGTTTGTTTTCTAAAGAAGCCTCTGGGCAGGTAGAGGGGCACAGGGACATTGCCGGAAGTGCAGATTATGCTTGAGATTATATTTTGTTTTGCGTCATGCTAGCTTTCCATTTATTTATTTATGGTAAACAACACTTAAATCAAGAGACATGCCATATATGTAGGCATCGGGGAAGTTGTCCAAAGGCATTGTGGTGGGGACTGGGAGACTAGACCAAAAAACATGATTTGTTTAATACAAAAGCAGTTAGGTGCAACTGCTTTTCACTGGAATCAGTTACAAACATTTACATATGAGTCATCAACCCCTGAATGATAAAAGTGATAGAAATGCAACTTAGAATAGAATGTTATATTTGTCAAAAAGTTGGCACTGTTAGAACCCCCAAGTTCATAAGGATGGCATGACTTTCACATTTGAGAATTTTTTTCCTAACTACATTGAATTGTGGCAGCAATCTGATTTACAGACAGGCACTTGAAGTTAATTTTAATTCTTAAAAAATAAGTTGCAGAATTTCAGTTCTAACTAAAGGTTTATATAGCTGAAGAATGTTAACGGATCCTTAACATAACTCTACAATTCTAAAATAAATACAATTAAGAGTTTTTGACTAAAGACTAATTTTTACTGAGTTGAATTGTTTAATATTTCAGCTGTGTCTCTCTTCAAATGCCAAAGGCAACAAGCACCTTTTTTAAAAAATTAGTAATGAATTGAACTAAATCTCATATTGCTTTTAAACCTGGAAGACAGAACATTCAGACACAACAAGCCAATTATATATTTTATACAGTTAATACAGTTTATGTATTATCATTGTGAAATAAGAGCATGGAAAAATGATCCTATCTCCTCTGCAGCACATCTCCGTAATTATTGGATTTTGATAATTTGACATCATTTTGTGGATATCTGGGGGAAAAAAACTAGAGATATAGTTTCACATTTGTAGATAGCTTTAAGAAATGAGATGGCAAAAATCTAGAAACTCCCATTTCTCAATAGCTGTAATATACCAATGGTAACGCTGAAATGTATTTAAACAAATGAATAAATTTGTTTTTCCAAATAACATTGTAGAAAATAGAAAAATATATACATTGTAAACAAAATTATAATATGAATTTTCTATTAAGGTAATACTAGGCATATATTCAACCCTGACTGCTCATTGGAAGGATTGATAATGAAGCTCAAGCTCGGAG